ACAGGTGATGTAATAGAATGGGTATTACTGCTGGCTGCAAAACACGAATATTCTACCACCTTCCTGACCTAAAGGCACCACTTCACAAAAAGGCTCCTAAATGATATAGCCTTTCGAAAAAAAGATCTCTTCTGGCCAGGAAGTAGCATAATTGCCTTGTCTTCCAATGCACACCAGTCACATACATTGCTACCCTGGCTCTCAGAATTTGTTAAACTGTCGCTGGAATGCATTTTAGTATTCCTGGCCAGGAAATAAGAATACGTATCCAAACAAATGTAAAATTACTACTACTGCATAGGTGTTTTTACGATTATGCTGTATATCTCTGTCATGTGTTTTCAGGTTGTACCACGTGTTGTTCGGTACGATTTCTAACACACAGAGTGCAAAGTTAGACATTACAAACCCAAATAACACGCAGTCCAACCCGAACAACACATCGGAGAATTACTTCTTGCAATTTCAGTTACTTCCATGAGTGGTTTTTACAACACGAGACAGACAAATATGTCGTGGGCGATATAGATTAATTGCTCCTGATGCAGCCAAATTGAAATTTACATATGTAAACTATATGCATTTTATCACTATGCAAAATCTACATTTCGAAACGTGAAAAAAGTACCATACTATAATGCATGTGTGGCTTTTGTTAGAGAATATACTGAAAGGATAAATTCAATCATGCATAGATTTTACACTTGAAAGATACATTTTGTCTGAATGGGCTCTCACTTGGTTATAAACGTCATCCGTGTATCCTTCCAAACTACAGGGTTGACATCTGTGGGGTTGGCATAGTAAGATTAGGCACGCAATTCATCATCTTCAACATGACTCGACGAAGTGTCACCTCCGATTAGTGCGGTTGGCTACGTATGGGGCATAAGAAGTTCAACGTGCATGCATACACAATTCGGGGGTCACAATTTCATTAACGGATTAATTCTGTTTTTGCGCATGACCTGCGTGCAGAATCGAGTGGCTGCAACGTTCCAATAATTCTGCAATAAATCCAGGAACCAAACGCATACAACTTATATGCACTGAAAATGAACTGTTCAACATGCAGGAATATATTAATGTTTCATGAATGTAAGAATGACATTTGATAAAGTTGTAGCCGTGAAAGCGCTTGCTCTTGCCACTGTTGATGGCCAGGCCTCGACGAGAAAGATGGAATTTTAAAGAATTCCGCACCTCCAATTAGTATGGGTGGCTACATACGGTGCGAAAGAAGTTCGACATACATACAGAGGATATTTTCGCCTACTCTTCCAAGCTATCCAGACGATCGACTGTGGTGTACCAATTATACTGCTTTTTTTAGTTAACATATCTTACCTGGATAATCCATTGAGATAGAATGTAAGGCTGTTTGGGGTGGAGAGTTTAAAATTTCAACTACCAGATCTAACCAGCAAACGTTATTAAAATTGCACCAACCACCCTTCCTAAGTATATATGTATAACTTATTTTGCACCATACGTAGCCAATCGTGCTAATCGTAATAAAGTAAAAATGAAGTCATTCAAAACCAATCAATTTATAGTATGGAAAAAATCATTCTGCGCAACAGAATGATAGAAACATCCCTCAAATACCTTGCAGATTATACAAAGGAAAATGATAACGTACCAGTTGATGTCATGCGAATGTGACCTACAGAACATTCCTCACACGTTGACCATGGCGATACTAATCAAATGTTTTCCATCTAGATTTGAAATGTTTTCCAACTGCTTTTTTGCACAATCATTCAGGGTCAGAACCCGAAATGAAAATCCTCATCGCGACCGAATTATAAAACAAAATTCTGGCTTATTATTTTTCAATTGATTAGCAATGTTCTGAAACATGTAACACATTTAAAGTTTTAGGTGGGAAATAAGAGTATAATGTAAAGTACGATTATTGCAAGTGTCTTTATTTTAACGATGAATCTTACACAGATACTAATTTACGATCCGAATATAATTAATATTAACATTATGTAATTGTGCAATATTTAGAATGAAAGTCTCCTCGCAAAATATTCCAGTGTATGATTTTCAAAGTACTGGTATTTCTTAAAGCACAATAAACATTTCTAAATATTCTAAGTGGCATTTATATACAACTTGCCAGCCGTACAAAACGCAGTGTTTATCTGTTATTGAATGCGGAGGTGTGTGGAACATTAGGAATGGACCACTCTTTTATTTTTTTCCACGTGCAGCAATGGAGTAAAGTGTGGTTTTGTGAAGGTCATTGTGCTGTGCAGAACATCCATGCACGTGTGTACACCAGCATGCGATACTGAGTCGGGCCTGTAGGTGGCTGGCAGGGCAAATTACCCAAATGCTGTTTTTGATAGTTATAGAAATGTTCTAGTCTTTAAGTAGGCCTCGGCAAGGTAAGGTAAAAACGAGCCTACCTTTACCCTACCTTTTACCTTACCACAATACAATCACTCTTCCCTTACCTTTTACCATTTAGCAAGGTAAGGTAAAAGGTCAAATGCAACGAGCCTACCTTTACCCTACCTTTTACGCTTACCCCATACAAATTACCCGATTACAGGGTAATTACTGGGGTACTACACATGAAAAAGGTTAATAATAGATAAATGCTAGGTAGAGTGCTTTATTCATATAGAATACTCTCGATTATTCCAATTTAAAATGGAGGCCACGGACTGTGCCACTGAGCTTTTAGCAGTAAACAAGGCACCGTATTTACCAGGTAATACTTCGCGCTACCTTTATCCTTCCAGGTAATTATTCCGTGCTACCTTTACCCTTCCCTTTACCTTACCCCTTGGCATGGTCGACACCTTTACCCTTTACCGTAACCCTTTTACCCGGTAAAAAGGGTCAATTACTTTACCTTGCCGAGGCCTATCTTTAAGCTTGACTTGAAATTGGTAGTTTGTGATATATTCAAGAGGGGGTTTAGCACTGTACACTATAAAGGATGACGTACTGTAGTTAATACTGTTAATTCTCTAAGCCTAATACTGTTTATTATATAACCATGCCCATGCACCCAGAGTATGACTACTTGCAATGCTATTAAGTATAGAACACCTGTACGGTAGTAAGTTGTTCAATGGTGACAAGTGCAGTAGTATAGAGTACACATACAGTACAGACAATGGGTGTAAGATAAGATCAATATAAGTGGATGGTATAGATATACAGCTTAGGATTAAATATTCGAATAGTAAAGTGTAAAGGTTACTATTAAAGACAAAGATGGTTTATCAAGTGGAATTGGGTTTAAGGGAAACTGTTCTTGAGTAACCTGACCTGTACACCAGTCACGTGGTTAATGGCGACTCGGTTGAGAATTTCTGTGATACACGTGCTGTTACATTTTACAGATTATCACAATAAATGTGTTTGCCCTCGATTTGGAGCATCTGCCCACGTCCTTCATTTCGAGTGTGCAACACGTGTCACTGCGAGTTTGTCAGCATGACCCTTGATATGAAAGGTTTTGTGTAAGGCATTGCTGAAAGGTCCATGCATGAATCATGTTTTGGTCAGTTCCTGTGCCACAGATGTGCACTGCCTTGTAATGAAGGCCAGTTGAATCCTGATCCACAATCATTTTTACACATTTTCTACATGATTATATGTGGGCGATGGATATTTTACACTTGAAAACAAAATCCTGCAGAATAAAATAGACAGCATATATTAAGAACTAAGCTGAGATGGCCAATCCGCGAGATAGGTCAGTTTTTCAAGGACACGACTGCCTAGGTTTTCAGTGGTTTCACTGAATACCCCAGGTTGTACTGCGCATTGTTTGGTACGATGTCCAATGAAGCGAAACGTTAGATGTTATGGCGAATAACATACGGAGAAACGTGAGAATGCATTGGAGAGCTAAGAGTTGAAATGAGAAGGTACCAAGGTGTAAGGGGTTGATTTTGTAGCATCAAACTTGATTGGTCAGTTGCCAGCGTGAAGGGTGTAGGCGCTGTCACAGGCAGGGTTCGCGAGCATTTGATATCCAGGCACAGGGGAAATCAGAATGCTCTTTACGTATTGCACGGCGATTTCACCACCACAGAAATGCATTGATTTGCCTGTGCAAGCCCTGAGAACGTAAAAAAAAGGCCCCCAATGTGCAAGTCTCGCATAAAATGTGCCAGGACGCGAAAGCTCTGTATTTCTCTTCAGAAGTCTGCCTTCAAATAAACTGTACAAAGCAGGTCTCTTTTAGTTGAGTTGAACATGTTTCTCCTTGAGATAATTCATGTTATATATACTGTACAAACGTCATCAGCCATGACAGGTAAAACTGTTGAAGGCATTCCCCTAAGCCGTCGCCATCTCGGTCCTGCAATGAGTCTATCAAGCCAGCGCAGCACACTAGATGATTGTCTTCTTGTGTTTCCTCCTTTGGTTAACACTTCATAATTCGTCTTAACTGCTGGTCATCGTCCTTTCCAGTGATGTATCCTGACCAAGCCCACATACCTTAATTAAAATATAAGTGGGTTTGGTGTCTTAACTTGCACGCGGCTAATCTGTGTTGAAGCAGTTGATAAACACGAATTCAAAACGTTTTTTGTAGTCACATTTGCAAGTTCCTTTTCACGATTAAGTTGAGCTGTCAAAAAGGACTCCAACTTGCTCTCGTCTGTCTTTTTATTCCATCGTGATCCCAGTCTGCCTAAATATCTGCCCAAGTTATAAATATATTGTTATCCAGTTGCAAAATATATGCACCAATTGTTTAGCAAACATGTTGTACACAGCCTTTACATGCATACTAAGTTGAAACAGAGGAATATTCACACGTATGTGATTCTAAGGCTAACAATCCAAAATGTTAAGCCTTTCCTTTCCCGAGTGAACACTACAGTATTCAGTTTTAATTTTCAACCCAACTGTGTATTACTAGAACGCCTAAAACTACAACTGAATTCATGACTGTACCCTTGTGTATATGTAGGCGAGTCCATGTCTGTAGTTCAGTACAAATTATTCCCTATACAAGGTTAGATTATTTGACAATTTTATTAATTTCCACATGTTAAACAGAAAAAAGTATCCATTCCCAATCAAAACAATTACCAGTTCAATGTATTGTCACCAATTTTACACAAATTAATACCGACGTTAAACACTCAAAGTTCTGTGGTTTAATTATAAAAATATTACCACGAATATTTTAATTACAAAACCAGGGTGCAATCAGCAATTGGCATAGCAAAACCAATCTCCATTTTTCACTTAACTGCATTAATCCTTAATGGCGTGACTCACCAAAATATCTTTGGGAATTTCACAGCGAATTTCCCTTCCCCATACTGCATTGTCCTCTTCCCATTTTCCACTGCAACACATCGAGCTGAGCAAACACGGGGCCATTATGGCATGGGTTGTTTTACACTGGCTATTTGCCTTGCCCATCCAGAACCAAACCGTAATACACTGGCCTCGCAAAAACATACCAATCTGGCTTTGGGCCAAGCAGAGCCAGGGCTAATAATTCGTTATGTGTGTGGCTTCAGCTGCACGACTTGGGTTCTGCAGTGAAAAAACCTGGCAGTTTCTGAGCTGCAGCAGGCTGGGTTGGCAAGGCCCCAGTGGGAAATATGAGATCGCCACACATAATATACTTACTCAGCCACTGCCCGATTTCAGGAAAAAAAGTCAAAGAAATGCCAGGGATGTTGAACCAGTACACTTTACAATTATCTCATCAGCTAGATTGAGATAACATTGTTTGCAATAAAACATCTTCAGCTGAAAACCACAATGGTAGGATAACCTGAGTATACTGCATGAATTGTGAGAATGGTGTTAATGACATTAACAAGGAAATTATATAACTATTGTATTTGGGAATGTGTGCACTGAAATTATAATTTTCTGCATTGAGGTCTAATATAGCATTAAACAGATCTCATAAGCCATGCAGGTTTTTACTTAGACTTGTTTGGACGGACGACCACCGTGCATAAAAACAAGTCGTCATCGGCGGTTGTGTAGCTATGCTATGCGATGGTCAATAGATGTCAGTTCAGTAAAATCCTTTCTACTGAATTGCTATGCTTCCACATCAGAGCTCTTCCTTCAATCTGCACTGACCAGTGTGGTGAAATAATATCATATCCCCCCTCTCCCCCCACGAGGTGTGGGGAGGCCCTCATCGAGCAGTGGCTTGAGAAAAGGGCTGTGGCAGTATTATTAAACAGTGCTGCACGAGCATGTTAACAAGCCCAACACCATAAAAACTGAGAAATGGTATATTAACTGATATACCATTGTAAGAAAAACATCTATATCTGTTATAAAATAGCATATGTGGAACATTACATTAAATGTGCCTTGATATCCAATTGTGTGCAAATACAACAAATGTGTACCTAAATACAACTAAATATTGGATGGCAGCACTGCTGAAGAAACGAACATCCCCATTTCAACGACAGTAGCGATTGCAAAGATGTCTGCTCTAATTCTCTATGTAAATGTAAACATAACATGTCTGTAATATTCAGATCAAGAATAACATGTTTAATGGACGGGAACATACAAATTAAAAGTATAAATGAAATGATAAGTTGTTCAGCGACTTAACCAGTGCAACGTGAAGGCCAAACACAAAGCATTAACAATAACAATGAACTACATTATTACCTTAAGAGATTTCCAGATATAAACATCGAAGATAAATTGTGACTTGAATCAGGGTCTTGAACATATTGTTAATTAGTGACAGATATGTAAAAAATACTTTTCATATATTTGTAACCACAGGCCTTCCTTGATGAGCTGATATTTAAACAAAAAACAAAATACAAATATTTTCAAATGGAATTTTATAGAAAATGTTAAGTATAGTATTTTAAGACATTCTTTGGTTCAGACATTTTCAAGGTAGAGACAATCTTTCACACTCAAATTTGAAAAAATAAAAAAAACAGTTCCTTCACTCCAAAATTGCTAAACTTTTGAGACATTATTTTGCAAATAAAAGGTTAATGTGTAATTTTAAATTAGTCCCTGTCATAATTATCAATGTTTTTATTCCTGGTAATTATCTCCCTTTGTATCCCAGTTGTATCCAGTGTGTGATGAGACACCAAGCACTCACACCAGCCAGCAGTGTGCCAAGTATGTTCCCATTGGAAGGGGTCACACAAAGGGCTGGCAGCTCCACGATAGTGGGGTGATGAGATCAAAAAAGGTTTCCTAATGGGGGAAAAAAATTAAACATATAGAAATCAATACACAAACATAAGTGGAAACTTTTAAGCCTAAGTATTTCTCTTATAAAATAAGTAATGGATCCTAAGCCACATTATGGAATCCATTCCTCTTCGCATGGTGGATACTTTTAAAGCTATGCACATGGTTTTTTGTGGCTGCCCATTGTTAAGGTCATATTGCATATGTTTTAGCGATTGTTCTGTGCAACTAACTCGCCGATGCTTTTTTGGGCTGTACCAACGTATTTGCCATGATGGCTGACATTTTGTTGCACGTGCTGAAAGTTTCTTCGGGAACTGAACAGAGCAGCTGTCTTTCTCCCTCGGATTATCTAGCACTTGACAGCTGGAACCGAAAACACCACCAGCAGCAAGCAACACTACATAATTGAGGGAGAAAGTGAGCTGCTCAATTCAGTTCGTGTAGAAGCTTCCAGCACAAGGAGAAAAACATAAGGCATCATGCAGAACGTGAAGTACAACCTAAACACAGAGAGATGTTTATAAACTCAACACATTTGTCATTAACACTGCCATAAAAGGTCAGTAAATGTATGAATATGCCATTATATTAGGGTAGTGGTTAATGATAAATATTTAGGTTATTTGATCACAATTGCCTACACAGTATCGGCAAATAATGTGATACATTTGAACGTGTTTAAAAGTGAATGCAGTCCATACAAAACAACACGTGTCATGGTTGGTGAAATAAGTCTTACCCCTTTAGCTGGGCAGTGTTGTTGGGCATACCACTCAAGTGAATAGAGGCACACCATGATGCCCTGCCCAATGAAGAGGAAGGTCCACATCACCACATTCCAAATTGGGCTTTTTCTTTTATCGTGCACCACGAAATTAAACAACACTGCCAGAGACAAATGCAGGGCATAGAACAATAACAATAATTTCACTGCTTCACCTCAGTGCATAATATTCGGCTTTAAAACGCAAGATTATGTCAATGGCATTCTACAGAATGAAATGAGTACAATACTACACTATCAAATATTAGCACTGTAATTTTACACATTGGCGTCAATATGCACATTTGTTTGACTAAACACATCACAGTATATACAATGAGGGAAAAAAGTATTTGATCCCCTGCTGATTTTGTACGTTTGCCCACTGACAAAGAAATTATCAGTCTATAATTTTAATGGTAGGCTTATTTGAACAGTGAGAGACAGAATAACAACAAAAAAATCCAGAAAAACGCATGTCAAAAATGTTATAAATTGCTTTGCATTTTAATGAGAGAAATAAGTATTTGACCCCCTTGCAAAACATGACTTAGTACTTGGTGGCAAAACCCTTGTTGGCAATCACAGAGGTCAGACGTTTCTTGTAGTTGGCCACCAGGTTGCACACATCTCAGGAGGGATTTTGTCCCACTCCTCTTTGCAGATCTTCTCCAAATCATTAAGGTTTCGAGGCTGACGTTTGGCAACTCGAACCTTCAGCTCTCTCCACAGATTTTCTATGGGATTAAGGTCTGGAGACTGGCTAGGCCACTTCAGGACCTTAATGTGCTTTTTCTTGAGCCACTCCTTTGTTGCCTTGGCCGTGTGTTTTGGGTCATTGTCATGCTGGAATACCCATCCACGACCCATTTTCAATGCCCTGGCTGAGGAAAGGAGGTTCTCACCCAATATTTGACGGTACATGGCCCCGTCCAACGTCCCTTTGATGCGGTGAAGTTGTCCTGTCCTCTTAGCAGAAAAACACCCCCAAAGCATAATGTTTCCACCTCCATGTTTGACGGTGGGGATGGTGTTCTTGGGGTCATAGGTAGCATTCCTCCTCCTCCAAACATGGCAAGTTGAGTTGATGCCAAAGAACTCCATTTTGGTCTCATCTGACCACAACACTTTCACCCAGTTGTCCTCTGAATCATTCAGATGTTCATTGGCAAACTTCAGATGGCCATGTATATGTGCTTTCTTGAGCAGGGTGACCTTGCGGGCGCTGCAGGATTTCAGTCCTTCACGACGTAGTGTTACCAATTGTTTTCTTGGTGACTTGAGATCATTGACAAGATCCTCCCATGTAGTTCTGGGCTGATACCTCCCCGTTTTCGTGATCATTGCAACTCCACGAGGTGCGATCTTGCATGGAGCCCCAGGCCGAGGGAGATTGACAGCTCTTTTGTGTTTCTTCCATTTGCGAATAATCGCACCAACTGTTGTCACCTCACCAAGCTGCTTGGCAATGGTCTTGTAGCCCATTACAGCCTTGTGTAGGACTACAATCTTGTCCCTGGCATCCTTGGAGAGCTCTTTGGTCTTGGCCATGGTGGAGAGTTTGGAATCTGATTGATTGATTGCTTCTGTGGACAGTTGTCTTTTATACAGGTAATAAGCTGAGATTAGGAACACTCCCTTTAAGAGTGTACTCCTAATCTCAGCTCGTTACCTGTATAAAAGACACCTGGGAGCCAGAAATCTCTCTGATTGAGAGGGGGTGAAATACTTATTTCCCTCATTAAAATGCAAATCAATTTATAACATTTTTGACATGCATTTTTCTGGATTTTTTTGTTGTTATTCTGTCTCTCACTGTTCAAATAAACCTACCATTAAAATTATAGACTGATAATTTCTTTGTCAGTGGGCAAACGTACAAAATCAGTAGGGGATCAAATACTTTTTTCCCTCACTGTATATGCAACATGTTATAGCTTAAAAATATGATAAAGTATTTTTTTAATAACTAACATGTATGCAGGTGTTAATTTATATCTCCATTTTCTGCAGGCTGGATAAATATTCTGGGACTCACACTGGCCTTAGAATATGTCTGTAGATTCAGCAGCTACTAAAGATCCAATACTGTACATTTCCAGAATAAGGAAAAAATAAATTTCATATTGGATTGCTAACTTGATACAACCCACTAAGTACATCTTCTTTAAAATGTCACACCAGATAAAGCGAAAAACTAAAGGCGGTAACTTTCGGCCCTCATACGTGCCCTTTCATATTACACTCAGTCTAACCTACTTGCCAAATTACCCCTCCCTCTGGAAACTGGCTCCTGGGCAGAGAATACTTACAGCGGCTTCCACAGTGGGAAAGCCATGTACCCAGAGCTGTCCGTCGTGATTCTCTGCACCATGCATTGACAGTGTTGCTATTCTTAGCCATCCCCTGCCCCTTGCTCTGAAATTTACCCCAACCCCTCTTTGCATTCCCCTACCATTGCATACTCTGCCACTTTTAACATGTCTGCCTACCATAAATCCTGTCCAACAGCATGGAAGGGCAATTATTTTAAAATTTAATTTACCAAGAGCAACAATATTTTCATATTTGCACCAAACGGAGAGCTGTGTTGTAATACATGTTAAATGTGTTAAAAATGAAAAACTAAATAGCCGTATTGAAATACACGATGTATTTGAAGTCGCTTACCCACCTATGAAGTCAGCCTAGGTTCATTATAAATAATTTTCGTTGGGCTCAATGCTTTCGAAGTATAAATAGCCAATCATATTTTTTTTACATTGAATTAAACGTGTTTCAGCAAGTAAACGATTTAATAGTATTTATCAAAGTAGGGTTAATTAAATAATTACATTATTTTCCTTCATGGATACTTTGATGCCATTTTTATGTAAAACGGTTGCATGCCAAATAGAAATAACATTCAGGAATGGTCTAAAAAAAACACTCAAATGCTCAGTTTAAGGCTTGTCTAGCTATATTATGACAATACCTTCAACATTCACTTCTAATTTATAAAATGCCATGTTACCAAAGTATGCAGGTGGCCTTATGGTAATCCTTGTCACATCATCTTACTTATGAACGTCATTTTTAGTCTGTCTGTCTGTCCGTCCGTCTGTGTACACGAAATTGCGAAGGATTTGGCTTGCAAGCCGTGGGGTTTACGTTTAAAAAACAATAACCAGATACCACGCCGTAAGCCCTGTGGTGAACCAGCGCTATTCCGTTTTGCCCGGGGGTTGCCCCTAGCAATGCACACGCGTCATCGGTGGAGGGGATTTCTCATTCTCGTTTAAAATGCAAAAAAAATACACACAATGCTGAGGTAAATTCATCAAAGTGTTATGTCTTCTTCTCCCCCCCCCCACCCCAATGTGTGCACTTACTACTATAGGGTCAGTAGATACTAATATTATAGCGCTTAGATAATATTATTGTAGTACGGGAGGGGGGATGGTGGGGTGGCGGGGGTAGTGGCCCAGCCCCCAGACTGCCAAGGGTGCCACCTCGGCCGGCTGGGCAATATAGGCGAGGCCGGGAGCTCTGCACGGGACAAGACCTCACCACGGCACTCTGTCAGGTTAGTAGTTTGTGCTATATAGTCGATATATACTGCTATAGAGTCAGCATGTACTAATGTGGTGATAACAGGCACCACCAGTCAGTATGTACTGCTGTAGTGAAAGCAGGTACCACCACAGTATGCACTGTTGTAATGATAGCAGGTCCCACCACAGTCAGTGCTGTTATCATAGCAGCTACCACCACAGCCAGTATGCGCTGCTGTAGTGAAAGCAGGTACCACCAGTAAGTAAGTATGCACTGCTGTTGTGAAAGCAGGTTCCACCACAGTATGCACTGCTGTAATCATAGCAGGTACCACCAGTCAGTATGCACTGCTGTAATCATAGCAGGTACCACCACAGTCGGAATGCACTGCTGTATTGCTAGTAGGATCCACCACAGTCAGTATGCACTGCTGTAGTGATAGTAGGAACCACCACAGTCGGTATGCACTGCTGTAGTCATAGCAGGAACGACCATAGTCGGTAGCAATGCTGTAGTGAAAGCAGGTACCACCACAGTCGGTATGCACTGCTGTAGTTAAAGCTGGTACCACCACAGTCAGTATGCACTGCTGTCGTGAAAGCAGGTACCACCAAAGTCGGTATGCACTGCTGTAGTCATAGCAGGTACCACCATAGTCAGTATGCACTGCTGTAGTGAAAGCAGGCACCACCAAAGTCGGTATGCACTGGTGTAGTCATAGCAGGATAACCCTAGAGTCGGTATGCACTTCTGTAGTGATAGCAGGTAACCACCACAGTCGGCATGCACTGTTGTAGTGATAGGAGGTAACTATCACAGTCGGCATGCACTGCTGTAGTGACAGCAGGTATCACCAGTCAGTATGCACTGCTGTAGTGAAAGCAGGTACCACCAAAGTTGGTATGCACTGGTGTAGTCACAGCAGGATAACCCTAGAGTCCGAATGCACTTCTGTAGTGATAGCAGGTAACCACCACAGTTGGTATGCACTGCTATAGTGATAGCAGGTAACCACCACAGTCGGTATGCACTGCTGTAGTGAAAGCAGCTCCACCAAAGTCGGTATGCACTGCTGTAGTGATAGCAGGTACCACCACAGTAGGTATGCACTGCTGTAGTGATATCAGGTACCACAACAGTCGGTATGCACTGCTGTAGTGATAGCAGGTACCACCACAGTCGGTATACACTGCTGCAGTGATAGCAGGTACCACCAGCCGGTATGCACTGCTGTAGTGATAGCAAGTACCACCACAGTCAGTATGCACTGCTGTAGCGATAGCAGGTAACCACAGTCGGTATGCACTGCTTTAGTGATAGCAGGTACCACCACAGTCGGTATGCTCTTCTGTAGTTATAGCAGGTTCCACCACAGTCGGGATGCACTGCTGCAGTGATAGCAGGTACCACCACAGTCAGTATGCACTGCTTTAGTGATAGCAGGTACCACCACAGTCGGTATGCTCTTCTGTAGTTATAGCAGGTTCCACCAAAGTCGGTATGCACTGCTGTAGTCATAGCAGGTACCACCATAGTCAGTATGCACTGCTGTAGTGAAAGCAGGCACCACCAAAGTCGGTATGCACTG